GTGTGACCTTCGCGGCTTTTTCAATCATATTAGATTTGCGTCGCTCCCAGTGCAACCTGGTACGTGTGGACTGGGAACTAGCCCCTGTGTGGCACGCGTAGTTTGACGGTGTAGCCTTGTCGGGCACTACGCTCGAGCACACTTTTGGTCGTCCTGACAAGGCCTTGCCACCGGGGCCACATGTGTGAGGGAAGAACGAGTTTGGCAGATTCTGTGTAAATCATCGGTTCCGCACCCACTCGGGGGAGGGATGTCGTCATTGCTCTCGACAGCAGGATTATAGAATTAAGAAATTGCTTTTGCCGGAAAGCCCTAGTTGATTTTTTAATCTCCGTGATCCGTCGTTACTAATGCTACGCTGTAAATGAAAGCAGACCGGTAGGTCTACATGGCGTCCAGTTTGGCGGAGCACTTGAACTAAGAAACAAATCACTCAAATTCTACGCAGCCTTTGTGACCAGCCTAATGAAGGTGTAAAACATGAGATGAGAATAAACCAATATGCCAACGTTTATTTCCACACAAATAAGCGTATTCAGAAAGAAATTTAAAAGATGCAGCTCAGCGTGAAGAGATTAAATAATTGAGTCCGCCCAGTATGTGCGCATCGTATTTGGTATATATGAACTAATGTTAGCCTTTTTGCATATAAATACGCAAAATCTAAGACCCCTTTGCATTTGCTTCATAGTTCATAAATGATAATCAAGCCCATCCATGATCCCACTTCGGAAGTACTACATTAAATGTGGCTCGCTAGAAATTTTAACATCAACTCGTACCCCAAATTTACCGTCTGTAGTTATGTAGCCTTGAAGAATATCGAACAGGAAAACATGTATACATGGAGGAAGCAAAAGTTTGGGGTCCGGAGTTAATTATTTAACTTTGATCTTATTTACCGGAAATCGAACGCCGTTTTTTATGAGTTCCCTCAGCAGCACTGCGCTCCATCTCCAAAAGGTCTCATAAACCTGGTTAGAAACACTTAGGTCACAATGTTATATTACTTAACTCTTCATCAAGTACCACAGCTCAGAAGAGGAAAACTAATATTTTGGGCATTTTGGCTAGTTAAACTGAATACTTTAGAAAAAATAAGAAATCCTGTGTAGACAGTTGTTAATAGGTAACATTTTCTTTTTCCGCAACAATAGTATCCTCCGGAGTGACTAAAAAAGATTTAAATTCTTGCTTTATTCTTCGACGAAAATCCATACAATCTTTTATACCCTGTGCTCAGTTAGACTTTAGGATACCAAATGTGAGTAGTCCTTGGTTAGGTAAAAGTAGATTGTTTGTTGGTCGCTGCAGATCTTCCCTTAGGTGTAACTTAGTAAGTAATTTAAGATGACTCGCCCATTTCCTCCGGATGCCGCTAACCAAACATGAATCAGCAATTCCGGTATTAGTCAAGTCATTACTAAAAAGCGTTTCCTCTTAATGTGGTGCTTCGACGTACATTTTAATTATGACATTTACGTCAGAATTTAGGTAAAATCCAATAAACATAGTCGCCATCAATTAAAGTCACATTAAAGGAGAAGCCGACGCTCATTATTTTTGAATTAATGTAAATTATATATATATATATATATATATGAGAAGAAGAGGCGATCTCGGGAACCACGATTGTATTGTCCGGACGTTTCAAAAGCAGACAAGTTTCCATCGTCGGAGGTGAGTTTCGTACAGCATCACACAGTATTTTTGGAGAGGGATGAACAAAAGTCATGTTAACACGGTGTTAATTATACGGGGGAGTGGTTAATCGGCTATGGCGCTAATGGCCCACATACGCGCAGGGATCGTCTCTGTAGTCGCCGGGGCAGAGCGGGAGTGAGGGTGACTGCTGTCACTCTGCTGTCTCTCGGCGGGGGCCGGCATTTGAACTTTGGTGGCCATCACCCGCATTCGCGTTGACCTAAGTTGCCGTCCTGGGTTGCTAGTCTTGATTGCATCCCTCTGACCGCGTTTCTCTCCGTCTTCCGGAGTAGTAGTTGAGGCAACAGTATTGATGACTCCGTCTTCGTCGGGCCCGATCTGTGGTGTGGCTAAGTGTAGGTCCGTCGTACGCTCTCCCGTGTTTAGATTCAGGTCTAGCCTGACTTCGCGCTTGCCATTTCGTTCGTTGAACTGCGTCCGGAGGGCTTCGTAGGCTGCTGGAAGGGCGGCACAACGGTTTATTGAGGTAGTCTCCGTGTGCCATGCCTCGATTGTTTCCCTGGCTACGCGGTCATTGCCTCGACCCAGAATTTTGGCGCCCTGGAAGGCGAAAGTGTGTCCAAAGTCCGCGCAGTGTTCCGCCACCAGAGACAATGGATCCACTCTCCTCACTGCCCGTATGTGTTCGTCAACGCGGATTTGTAACCGTTTGCCTGTCTCTCCGACGTAGTTAGCTTCGCAAGAGTTACACTGGACTCGGTAGTTGACATTTATCGTCCCACTTCGTGGCAGGGGGGCCTTGGATCTCATAACCAAATGTCAAATAGTAGAGTCTGGTCGATAAGAGATCCCGATTCCTAAGAGTCTTAGGAGGCGGGAAACTGCCTCAGAGACGCAGTCGATGTATGGCAGTGCCCGCCAGACTTTTGGCTGTTTTGTCACCCGATTGTGGCCTGGTTTAGACTGCCTACTGCGCCCGATGAAGTAACGGGGGGATCCGTTGGCCATGAAAGGGCGCGGAACATAGCAGAGTTCTGTTCTTCTGTCATCCGGCTCGCTGCAGTGTGTTTTTGATCTACTATAGAGAGTTCGCACACAGCTGCGTTTTTGACAAAACGGGTGTTTGCTGTGATAGCTTAGGATTTGGCCTGTGTTGGTAGCCTTCCCATACATCGTCGTTTTTATATGCCCGTTGGGTTTTCGATGGATACAAACGTCAAGAAACGGCAACGGGCTGTTGTTTTCCGCCTCCGTCGTGAATTGCATGTCTGAAAAAACGGAATTCAGGACACTGTGAAATTCCTCGATTACTTCTCGTTTGATGACGACGAAGGTGTCGTCGAAGTACCGAGTCCAAAACTTTGGCCTGTGAATTGTGAAAAGCCTCTCTCTAGTTTTCGCAGGACTGTCTCAGCGATGAAGCCGGAGAGAGGCGATCCCATCGGCGTCCCTTTAATCTGTTCGTACATGGTCCCCTCGAAGGTGTAGTAATCTTCAGGCAGAATTTTAAGAGTTGGGCTAGATATCTCCGCTTCACCGACTCGTCCGTCTCGTCATACTGCCTCTGGAGCAATTCGCTGGCCGTTTCGATAGCCCGGTCCTGCGGGAATGAAGTGAAGAGAGAGGCGACGTCAAACGACAACATGCGATCGTCTGCAGTGAGTCGCGTTCCCCTGAGCTGTTCCATAAACTGAGTAGCTGAACAAACGTCAGGACAATACAGTCATGGTTCCCGAGATCGCCTCTTCTTCTCATTTATTTTCGGTGACTTGAATCTTCACTTCGTCATCGTCAAGAGAGATCAGCTAGAAACTCTGCATAAAGCTATCAACTCAACACTACCGGGAATTACGTTCACGCTCGAAAGAGAAGCTAACAGCAAACTCCCATTTCTTGATGTCATCCTACAGCGAAAAACTGACGGGACATTCCAGACATCAGTATACCGCAAAGAAACTTACGCGGAAGTTATCCTACATTACGAGAGCAACCACAATATGGCTCACAAACGGAGTGCTGTTAAGACCCTACTTAATCGAGCAAAAACACATTGCTCTGAGAACGAAGGTTACAAAGAAGAACTCAATTATCTATTCAATCTATTTTTCCAAAACGGCTACCCTAGAGATTTTGTACGCCGATGCATGAAAGAGCAGGAATCAAAAGAAAGAGAGAAGGAACTAGATTGTTCCGATCAGAAGCCAGAACCAAAACATTGGCGAACGCTTCCCTATATTAAAAATGTGTCTGAACTCGTTGAAAGACACCTGAGGAATCACCAAATACAAGTGGCTCACAAACCGACTACCACGCTACGCAATCAGCTTGTACACCCTAAGGATAGGGTTGGCTATTTGGATAAGAAATAAGTAGTCTATAAGATTCCATGTGGCACTTGTAATGCAGTGTATTGTGGTCAAACCGGAAAATCCGCCTCTACATGCCTACATAAACACCAGTTGGCAGTGAAGAGGCGGGACAACTTATCCCAAGTCGCCATGCATACTCTTGAAACTGGGCACAAATTCGCTTGGGATAAAACACGCATTGTCGGTTCCTGACCATATAAGAAAGGCCGAGAATTCCTAGAGGCCATTCACTCTGATGATTCCTGCATCAATAGACGCATCGACCTTGATACCATGTACACAACTCTCAAAGAAAAATGGAAAAGGTAATAGCCAATCAAGGCGTGACATCAGCCCACAACATTAACCCATCCTCAGCCATGACAGAGCAATATCGATTTTTTCGGCATTGTTTAAATTTTGACTGTTTCTTCACAATTACTACACGTCTGAAGACGAGCTGGGGAACCAGACTCGAAAATTTACGAAATAAAGTTTGTTCATTTTCCCAAAGGACTCATTCTTCTTCGAATTATGTTTCTTGGGATGCCCATCTTCCAGTACATATATATTATATATATATTTCTTGGAATGCCTGTTTTTCAATATATCTATACATGTGCAGACTGCGTTATCTTGTTGCAAACTGCTTTCAGTGTTGCATAGAAAGGAGGTCGCATGAACCAAACAGGTGGACGTTTCAACAAAGTAACTGAATATTCCGGCTGAAAAGTATAAAAATGATAAATGAGACTGTGTAATACAATGGGGCTGCCAGGACTTAGAATATGAAGCATGTCAAGAGAAATCGCAGAAAAAGTTCATTTAAACAAAACCTAACGGGTGGGTTTCACGAGTGACCTAGACATTTTTGCTACTGAACCCCATTCTCTAGACACGAATAAGGTGAAAGTAGAAGCCTCCGACTCGCCTGAAGGGGACAAGTCCATCAAGTCGTGGATATAGATGGACCTGATAAAGCAAGTGTAAGGCATTTACGAGGAAGTTAACTAGGAAGCCTTCTTGTCTAAATGTGCAAAAAGTACTTTATGATACACCATTATTAATTCTAAGTTAAAGCTGTCTCAGACTTTATACTGAGGTTAAAGGGCCTAAATGACGTTTTGATGAAAGGAGGAATAATTGGCTCTGTAAATCCAGTTGTGCATGGAAACATCGATTTGAACTGAAGACTGATTGGAAATTTTGGCACGTAACCGACGCCAAAATTGCAGATCTCCTTATGTGCTGGACGAGTAATTAGTTTGACGAGCGCATCTATTTATAACAACTGTTTTGAATTCTGTGTTAAACATTGACAGGAAAAATTTGACTACGTACGAGGGCGGCGGGTGCAGTTATTTATTAAATGCCCAGCAAATCTAAGTTTTCTGGAAAATGTGTCCGGTAAAAGTCTATAACCTTTGCTCTGTAGGCCTCTTGTGGTACGCCGAATTCTTTAACAGATAAGACGTATATGAACATTTTTTAAGTTCATTCACAGACTTTGAATACGATCAAAAATACGCCATCATTATTAAGGCAAGCGCATAGCAAAGTCACTTTTGGTCCTGAGATTGACCGTCTACGCCAGTTTTATGTGATCTTTGCCTTTTCCAAATAAAACAGTTAAAATCATGCTTTGGGTTGGTGCTCTACTCTATATGTCAGCAAATTTCACCAACACGACTGTCATTGCCATTTCAAGTGGTCTGAAACCAACATAACCATGCCTCTGTTTTGTCTGGGCTTCAGATTTAAGTGGTGTATGTAACCACAATTGGGTTTGTTCTCCTGCTAGCACCATTACCTCGCTCACACGTTAGTCCTGTCTTTCTGACCAATAAGCCTCCACTGTCAATCACGATTAGTGCCAACTCAGCCCAGCTTAACAACGCTGAGCCCACGCCCGTAGTGAGAAGTGACACTGTGGTGCTGCCCAGCGCTTGGCGCAGAGGTGCAACCCCGTTGACTCTGGTTTTCGCACGCATGCCCATCCAAAGTCTCCCCGAATGACACCTGCAATAATCACACGTACGCACTTGCCGCTACTTCGATTTGCCTTCTGCTCATATTTAATATTTACCCCCAACTGCGAGCTCTGCTAGCACATTTGTTAACGGCGCAAGGTGTGGAAACAATCGCTGAGACACAATGGCAGAAGAACCAGCCCCTGAGCGACTAATCCACTATTACGATGAGATGACAGAGGCTAAAGCTGGTATGCTTTTTTTTCCACTTCGAAACCTATTCAAGAAAATTCGTATTTATGCTGGAGTTTGTGCTCAAAGTCCCAAAAAGACCATAATGATTGAAAATATTTTTTCTACGTATTTTTGGAATTGACCAGTAGGTGTTCAGTAATATGGCGATTGGGAAATTACAAAAGAAATGTGGAAAAATGCAATTTTCCCCAAATTCACCTTTAACATTCCTCCCAGTTATTCTAAATTGAGCCTAACAGCCATAAAAAGTAATTGCAAATAATAACATTCTGTTGATGCTACGTATGACTGGACACTAAGACATTTTTCGTTTAAAATACCCTACTCCAACTGATATCTCCAAATCACAAAAAGTATATTGAAACTCGATTTTCCAAGACTGCCAACTTCACACACTCGTGTTAGAAAGATTATTACTTTTCAGATATAGATCGTGGTTTCAAGTTCGGAAGACTGACACAACGTAACAGATCGTTAAAAGCAAAAAACTATATGAATTAGTTTCGGGATTTTATGAATATAAAATCTAATAGGGAGGCGAAACTAAAAGCAAAATAGGCTGAATGAACTGCACTTGAGCGGCTGCAAAAAAAATCTAATTGAAAACCGGCAGAAATTATTTGGACTAGTCATTTTAATGATTGTTCCATTAGCTTCCTCTAGTGTGTATGCAACGTAAAACTAAATGATTTAACTCACAGCGATATTTTTAACACTTAAGCTATCCCCACAAAGGACTACAAGAACTTCCTGGTTAAATGGGGAATCGAGGAGAATCAAGCTGAGGTACAAAAATCCACCTAACAACTTTTACATTCTTCTATATTTTTTATAGATATGTTTTTATGTCGAAGTAATGTTTTAGTTTTTCATGCAGTATGCTGTTTAAAATATTTGTCCCATTCGAGCAAAGCTAGCATATGTTCAGAGTAAGACGTTTACTCCTCTCTACCGAGTTACTTTTTTCCGTAGCGTATTTGCAATCGTTTCGATACCAACAAAACTGGATTCATCCGTCGAGAAGATCTTTACCGCGATTGTACAGGATTCACCAACGAGTATGTACAGTTGAATAATTTTCTTCTACCTTTGCCCTTGAGACACCTGTATTTTTCTATGTAATGAAGTTAATAGATAACCGCGTTCGTTTTTTTCCAACTCAAACTTACAGTTCCCAGCAATTCAGTTTTTCTCCAGTCATTTAGGTCGGCTTGAGACAAGACTCCGACTTACCTCACTTAGACCCTTTTATACGTTATGCTAGATAGTAACGCGTTTCAAGATGATAATACTATTAATTGCTTGACTAGGCAACCCTGTGGACACTGTCAGTACTCTGGACAGTTTAGTCGTTAATTGCGTTTAGGCCAATGAGGGATACCCTACGTACTGGCTAAACTGAGCAAAACAACCTAGGTTATGGTAAAATTATCCTTATGTGGAGCAAAGCCTTGGCTTTTGCACGCTTTTAAAGAATTATATGTCCAAATGGCGAAAAGGGATAGTCGTTAACTGTCAACCGACACGATAAGCAAACTGACGGGTTTTTTCACTACAATCCGCCCTTGTTGATATCGACTGGATAATACAGATCAGTCAGAGCGTTCGAGAGGCAAAATCCAAAAAAACGTATGCAACCTGTTTGAGCCAGAATCTGTCCTTACAAAAATTTTGATCCCCAAATGCGTGGTGGAGTATTTGTTAATAATGTGCCCATCTATTGATGCAGGTTTGGAGACGGTTGTGGGTTGCTTTACTTTAGTACTTACCTCATCTCCTTTTCAGTACTAGCGCTTTGAGGGATGTCCGGATTCTTACCACAGACATGAGACCCATGCAGCGCCAGTCAATAATATTGTACGTCATTGAAATCCTTCAGAGGCGGATGTCCAAGCAGGTAAAAGTTTGATGCGCATGCATATCACTAAACGTATTCTTCATCCTGGATTTCAGAGGCCCTGTCGCGCATCAAATTTGCCTTTGCCATACTTTTATAACATTTTTTGGATTGCCTGATGAATATGCTGATGGCTAGCATAAAGAAAGGTGTCGGCAATAGCGGGAAAATAATTGGTGACTTCTAGATTTTGCTAAGCCAAGCAATTTCGGTTGGAAAATTCATTGTTCTTTTTCAACCAGTAGAAATAAGACGGTTAAAGTAAATTCAAGCTTAAGAAGACGAAAGCCGGAAATTTTTTCGCGCCGCATGTGCTTAGAAGGCTCTACTAATTGTCTCCTGTTTGCTTTCCTTTCGAAAATAATCTGATAACAGAATGTCCATGTGTTAGAACTTGCCTTGTATCAGCGTCAAACAATGGAGAATACGGAGACTTAGTCGACATTAACCAACGTCAAATTCTACTAGCGTGCTGTATGATGTATGCTTCCGTGATTTATGTTTTGTGCCCCATGCCGTCATACCTCCCACATGATTGGCTTAACTTCGAATTTAGGTAAATAAGGACAGCATGTCTTGTCCTATTCGAGTAAAGTTTTCCGAATAATCCCGGTGCCTTCAGCCTAGATACCCTCGTCGCCTTGGCTTAAGATAGTGTATTGGTCATGGTAATAACAGCTTTTTAGCATATTTCCAAAAATACAACACTCAGAACAGCGTGGTGATCTTGGTATCAATAAAATTCGACAAGTAATATAGTCAGTAGTTCAAAGAATATGATTGGTTGACTTGTTGGAGCTATGTTGCCTGTTACGTACAAAATTTTAGTTGTCTGATTAAATTTATTTTCGTCCAAAAACAGGAACAACTTAATGCAGTTAAACAGAGGGTGGAATCCGTCTACGGGGAAGGTTGGAACTGCTATATGACTGACGGTAAATTCTACTCGGTCTGCTCTCATAAGGCTGGTTCGAGTTTGGTCTTCGTCTACAAGAACATCGTGTTCGGTCTCTACCAGACTCCTGGAGCTGGGAGAAAATAGCCCACACGCAATTGACAGACCTACAGCTGAAATCTAACTAGAACAGCCACTGACCTGCGCACATACAAAGGACTCCTCCACTGCCTTTTGTCGTATGATTCCACTAGACAGTGGATCGATTAAGTGGAAAATTTTACTTTCTGCAAATATTTTTAGTCAACAACCTTGTATCTAAAATGATGTATTTCATCATCTGTATCTTATCTCCTAAGTTAAAGTAAAACTGTCTTTCATTTTGCAGGTATTTCACAGGGGTAATAGGGGAAGAAGTGGTTATAACTGCAGGGGTTCTGTTACGGTTTGCAATAACACGGTATGCTTTATCTCGAGCCAACTTTCTCACACAATCGGAGACATTAAGAGGCTTTCATGCTCAGAATCACTTATTAAGTCAACCTAGTTTCGACACGTGGCCGTCGTGATTCGAATTAGATTACCCTGATCCTCCAGTGCAATCAACTTCGGGACTGGAGATTCTCCACTAAAAATATCCTGCAATGTAGTGTTTGATAGTGAACCTTGTCCAGTGGTGTTCCGGGTTATATACTGCTACATTGCTTAAGCAACCATTCTGAAGCCTCCTGATCATTACCTAGACAGGACTCAGTCTCAGATATTCAGACGTGGGTTATATTAACAATGAATTTATTAGAAAAAGTATTATAGAGTTTACTGTCAACACTGAATTTATTAGAAGGCGTATAATTCGGAAAATTTTAATTTACGATGGCCTGACACGGACACCGAGGTCGGTAAGACGTAATTTGCACTTTCAGCCAAGATGACAAAATGTAACGTATGCGGCGCCTTTCATGTGGTCACAGGTTGCTCCGGAGAGGCAAATAACTGCAAAACGAAAGGATATACCGGTGCCAGTTTGCTAAAGGCATTAAACGGACTTCAGACCTATCAAATCGCGTGCTATCGCCCACACCAAAATGCTGGATACTCGAAAGTTAGCCTCCTGCGTCTGGGAAAGCCCGTGTTGTCACCGCTGAGTTAATTATTTAGGCCTTCGCCCACAGATGTGACGTAAGCACAGTGAGGTCCGCGGTGAACAGTTTAACTATCAGGAGGTCCTTGCAATGAAAATCATCGAACATCATGCGAGTTAAACTGCGGTCAAGAGTATTATTGGGCACACGCCCAAAACATATTCCAATATCGTCCGTCATTCAGGGCTACGACTCAGCAAAATCAGCAGTTTTGGAGTATTTTTTGAACACGGAGTGTGATACTTACTAACAAAACAAGGGAGACATCGAGAGCATCTAGCCGGGCTCTGAGCGAAGGTAAGCGTTGAAAATCCAAACGTAGGAGACAAGAAACTAAAGCCTCTTAAAGATTTTAAAAACCTAGTAAAATTATGAAACAACCCACTGAATCTTAAATCGGAGCCATAAATATCAATATCCCAATCATTTATGCATATCTGCAACGTCACTATTGTATGAAATTCAGCCCGTTCACTCACACAATGTGCGATGGATGAAGGAGTGGTATGATGTCACTATAACAAAGTTCTTTGTCCTGTCTGTATCGGCTAAAGGGCTGGGATGTTTTAAGTAACTTTGCTGACACTTAAACTATCGCGAAATAAAGTTGCATGACTTGCGGCAAGTAGTGAAAGGACGATTTGCACAAGCTGTATTCGGAATGCAAATGCGCGGACATGTTCATGTTAACCAGGTACTGCGTTTGTATTGGTGCGAATGTGTATATGACTGAGGCCTCCTGAGCATTAGGCAATAAATATAGTTTTCGCATGAACCAATACGAGCGAGGAGCAAAGTGGCACACGTTTACAAAAGCGCTGAAATACAGAACGAAGTGTTTAGCGGTATGGTGGGACAGCAAGACAAAATAGGCCCACTAACCGTCGCTGACCTAAGATTTAAATATAACTGGTCGATGCTCTCAGATACGCGAAAAATTGTTGTATCAGTCTTCATCGCTATCAGATCTTACCGCATAAATTCGACAGTTGGCTCAAACTATGCTACTACAAGAGAAACTCCTAAAAAGGGGATGACAGGGGCGTCCAATGTATGAGGGTTTAACAAAATTCATAATAAACATATCAGTCCAGTATCGGGGTTATTCATAACTTTGCCCAAATTTTGAATTATATCATGTGGCTAATTGGTCCCCCCAACTAGTAGGAGCATGCTTCATATGCATTCGAGAGCAGAGCTCTTAGACTTTTAGATAGCGACATAGCTGAGATTGTCAATTGCAGCAAAACCTATCAAATCGCACTGTACACTGACAGTTTTTATACTCATGGAGAAACTCAAAATTGAGTAAAGTCAACTAGCACTTCCTGCTCTACATAACTTAGTCGGTGACGCGCTGTCGATGAAAACAAGACATACAATTTCTAATGATTTTGGACGTAGTATGAACATCTTCCCTCTGTATTTGGCTACTTATCCTATGGTTACACTTCAAGGTGGATGCATTAATGCGGTTTTGGGGAAATATCCGAAGTCAAGGTGGAGTTCAAAATAATCTTAAACTTGTCTGGTAATTTAAAAATTATTATGACAGGCAATGGAAGGTGAACAGTCTCACAAGGAAAAACAAGATGAGTGTGGCCGGACACAGGCAATCGCCGACCGTCCAATATCGCGCCGAAGGCACTACCAGCGAGTTATGGACGGCGTGTCATCCATCTGTGCGAATAATTAATGCGGATCACGTCACGCTCGCCTGTTGCAATTGTCTACCTCCTGCGTCTGGAAGGTTTGTCTCACAGGACCGTGAGTCAGGGGGGAGCCTTGTGTTTGTTCTCCTAGTCGGAAACAGGGGCAATCTAACAACTAACAGAGTCAGACATTGGGTTACCGATAATTCACCGCTGGAGGGTCTGCGATAGAAGTGGGTGATCGATGGTTCGCATTGGCCTGGCTACACGCATTCTAGCTGTATGAGTTGCCCTGTTTTCTATAGCCCACCACTAGGAATAATCTAATTCTTAAAGCCCCAAGGTACAAGCGACGATGCGAGTTCCAGGAACCAGTTGATAAGAAGTAGAAGCGATCACTGGAACAAGGACTTTATTCGCCTGACGTTTTAGGTTCAAACGAGAACCCAAGACGTTAGGCGAATAAAGCCCTTATTCTAGCAATCGCTTTACTTCTCATCTAAGCCCCAAGACTCCATTATGTTCCGCTGATATACAGAGTGAGTCAGAAGTGACCGGGGGGTCAATGAAGGCTTATTCTTAATTACACTAGAAGCTATTTAGACGGTCGACTGCTTGATAAGTGACTACTGTTAGCCGAAGCAGTCGACGTGAACACATCTTACCAGTGTCAGTTTGGCAGACATGGTCGTCAGAAACTTGCAGTTATTTGTTTCTATTTCGGGTAGGACACCGTGCCCCAGGAATGGCAGCAACAAATAATCAACGATTGACGACTGAAAAACGTGTCTTCATTCTTACTTTTACAAGGAGAATTATATGGAGTGACGAGACAACTTCCAAATTGATCAACATACTTCTGTGTATTGGACAAAAAAAATCCTCAGTTTTTTCTCAAGATGGATGTTAAGAAAATCAGTGTTGTACTTTGGATTTGGATTTGTGTTTCAGGTTTGATCGGGTCTTTTTTCAATGAAGGAACTGTGACAGACAACAACTGTGCTGAAATGCTCAACAATGATTCTCTGTCAAGAGTGGCAAATTGGTCACATGTTCGTGAGACGTGGTTCCAGCAAGGCGGTGCACCTTCCCACCATAGGACTGTTGTGCACGACTGGCTTCATGGGCATTTCTCACACAAATGGATTGGGTGTCATGGTTCTGTAGAGTATCATCCTCGTTCGCCTAATCCTACACCTCTTGACTTTCTTCTTTCGGGTTCGCCGAAGAAACTTAGTCGATGCTGAACATTCGGGGACTATTCGGCAACTTCTCTCAAGGATGGTGGATTCTTGTACAAAAATCAACTAAGACTTCTGCCTACATGTGGGCTACGCTGTTCTTTATATAACATCTAAATGCATTGAAGACACTTACTATAACCGCGTCCTATATGACCTTTATTTCATTTACACCTGGATATCAGTAAATTTTATTGTTCGTGCCAAGAATTTTTTTACTGTCCAGTTACTTCAGACTCACCCTGTATTCTAGGGTAAGGTGATACCATACTAACAGCACAGGTACTAGCCAAAAGCCCATACACACGTGTTTCGCCGATATCCTGCCGCTGCATGGACTTTGGTCCAAATATTGATGCATTACATTCTCGGGCTGAGCCTATAGACCTTGAATAAACTGATCTACTCCCAGTTCGTAGATAATTTCTGAGGAAATTAAAAAGGCGATTATTTCACTCTGTATATTGGAGTCCTTTAAGTTCAGTCACGTAAAGCCAAATAAGCAGTTATTTTGCACCATCTCGATTTCGGAAGTTTTTATCGCATAGTTTCTACACTTATAATATAATTATGTGATTTATAAAAATATTTTGTTTTTTTTAACTTAGCATTATAGAACGCCATGAGTTTCCATGAGTGGAACGTCCCGGTGAGACATTTGCCGGCCGTTTTCCAATCTTACGGATCGCCTATTAAACATGGAAATCGCAAGCTTTCGGGATCTCACCTTGTTGAAAAATAGATTAGCAAAGAGTATCTAACTTTTCAGTGTACTTTCCAACGACGGTAGGTGCAGTTTTGTTGAACTGACTGTTCAGTGTAGTCAGTCGTAAATGTCACTGGATTGTGACGTAGGTGAGGGAACAATTCAACCCCGAATGTATCTAAAGGGCCTCATCGCGTTCAGTTCATGAACTGTCGGTTTAAACGTCACAAGGATTTTCGGTACATGCTTCGGGTTACACAGAAAAACAGCCGATAAAAAGAAACCGTGCACTGACGAATGTAAAAAGTTCGGAATGCTACTAGTCCGATTCATTTTTCATCGACAAATAATCCATCTGAGAACGCGGAATTACTGTGGAGAAATGTATACCTCTGGAGCCATAACA